CCTAGGCAAGGTTTGGCACTCTCTCACCTGAGGTATGGCATCTGGTAGATCCTTGCGGTCTTTCCCTCTCTCCAGATGGGGCTCACTTGAACTCTCCAGTTGCAACATTCAGTCCGGTCACCTGCTGGCAGACCAGCTCTCTGAATCAAGCAGCAAAGTCAGCGATCAGCAGATTCTCCTTGCCTCCCTTCACTCTCCTCCCACAGCCTGATCTGGTCTTCAGGCAGTCAGCCCACTCCTCTCTCGAGATATCTCCCCCTCACTGCTTCCGGTTTTTTATATATATATATGTCCCCTCCCACAGACCAGCTCCTCTGGGAAATGTAGTTTCCAAAGGCAATGCTCCTTAGTAAAGTCCCGCAATTCAGCATACAAGTTCCATATGGTGTTCTTCAACATGTGAATGCTACTGTTCTGCAGGACACTGCCATCTTGTGTTGGCTTCAACATCCTGCATTAGACGTTTCTAGCAGGGTGTTACATTTATACACCATATATCTTCCTCACGAATTGGAAAAACAGGCATAGTTGGTATGGTTTGATTCCATACAAATGAAAAAAAAATGTTGGTGAACAAAAGCAGACAAGGGCGCACTCTCATCGTGCATTACCGTGGTACACCACGTATTTATTGTGTAAACAAATAGATGTATACTCACAAACCAAAGGAAAGTAAAAGCACAAAGTGTAGCCCGCAATGACAGTCAATACAATGCTGTGGCCTTATTAGGGATAAACTGACGCGTTTCGGGAGACGAACCCCCTTCCTCAGAGCTCTGTTTTAGCTCTGAGGAAGGGAGTTCGTCTCCCGAAACACGGTGTACCATGGTAATGCACGATGAGAGTGCACCCTTGTCTGCTTTTGTTGACCAATATTCAGACTTCCCGATCTTTGAAAGGCAGCACCTCTCCGTTTGCATTCTGAATTTCTTTTAGTCTGCATGAAGATTTGAGTGCTGGTTTCATTTGTTTGTCAAATGAAAAAATGTATTTAAGAAAAAACAAACACTGTGCCTCATGTCTTACATTTTATGTGGTCAACATCACCAGAAAACTGGGGTCGTTGCCAGCAAGTGAGGAAGATGGCAACTTAAGAGCAGAGCTCCATAGCACAAAGAATTGTCGGAGCACACAGCAGCTTAACAAGATACAGTGTAGCAATGGTTTCTCAGGTATAGATGTTTTCACACTCCAGCAACATGTCCCGCAAACAAAAAGAATGAGGGGCTGCTGGGCTAATAACAGATTTCTTCCCTCCACCAAGCTGCCACAGCAGCCTTGATGGCTGTCCCTCTCCAGCCACCCATCACTGGAAGGAGAGATATGGGGGAAGGACAAAGACCAACACAACAACTCCCATCAAGTCTGCAACACTTGTTCACAAGCTTCCTCCAGCACAAGTAGCCCTGCCAAGGTGAAGAAGTGAGTGACATGTACAATTCTCTGGATGACACTATAGAACTCCAGGACTCCATAGCTGAATTCCCTACTAATAATCAGCCAGTACTAGGTAGTGCATTGAAAGATACTGATTGCTCCTCTCCCCTGGAAGCAATATTAACTTTGACATTCTACAGATGATGAAGCATTCAAAGTTCCTGTTTATGAAGTAAGTGACAGAGTCATACACAGAGAACAAGATGGAAGAGTTTGCTGCAACTTTTAACTTGATGCTCACAATGAGAGAAAGGATGACAGAACATGGCTGGAAGCAAAACTAGCTGACCTAAAGGATCGCTCCAGATGCAATAATGTTAAAAGTAGGTAAATTCCTGAGTCAGTTAAACACCATAGAGCTGAAAGCTTATTTTGTCAACAGTTTAAAGGAAGCTCCTCTTGAGGTTCTAGTCATAGACCTTGGGGAGCCCGGGGCACTCAATGTAGAAATTAAAATTATATGATATATGAGTGAACTGAAATGACTGATAAAACGTATTTTTTCTAAAAAAAAAAAAAAAAAAAAATAATAGGTTCTGAAGAAAACACCTGTCTTATTACATATTATACAGGATTTATATAGTGCCAACCGTTAGCTCAGCACTTTACAATATAAGACCATACAGCAACAATACAAGAGGGATAGGAGGGCCCTGCTCCTTTGAACTTACAATTTAGGATTTTACACAGGTAATTGGAACTGGCAAGTTATACATTACAGTTATGCATCACACTACAATATTTACAAAAAGTCTTTTTTCCTGCACATAGCATCTGCAGAAACTTTAACTTAATTTGGCAACAGATGGATCAAATCTCAGTTAGTTCAGCAGACCATCTATGGGCAGGCTGGTCCATCTACTGACTGGTTGTATACCAGCCTGACAGATTTTTTATATGCGATTACTGAGGCCATAGTGAACTCATGCCGCCCCTCTTTCACCAGCAGAACACAGTAGCACTGCAGGAGGCATTCTGTCAGGCTCCGTCCAACGGGATCTCTAGTGGTCCACGGCACGGGGTTTCCCAGGACGCGGAGTCTAAGTCCCAGTCTGCCTTTTCACCAGAGCCCCTGATGGTGGGGATGGACTTGGTGCAAGACTGGAACCAGGTTGCGTCCCTGGGCACCCCCGGCGGTGGCAGAGGGGTCCCGCTGATGGTATGTGCCCCGGGATGAGTCTGCTGTGAAGGGGATGACAGACCCCGATCCGAGCGGGATGGATGGGATGACAGATCCCGATCCGAGCGGGATGGATGGACGACTGCTAGGAGTGAGCGAGGTCAGACTAGCCAGGTCGGTATCGTGCGGGCAGCGTGGTACAGGGGGAGCAAGCGGAAAATGGTCGGGGTCACAAGCCAGGTTCAGCAGGTAGCAGGCAGCGTGGTACAGAGGGTCAGGCAGAGGGATGGTCAGGAACGAGCCGGGGTCAGAGCAGGAGAGGGTCAGCGTAATCAGAACAGGCAGAGTTTGGCAACAAGGAAACGTACTAGCAGGAACACAGGAACAGGAACAAGACCTTGCGGCACTTTGGAAATGCACAGGGCAGATTTAAATAGGGCGCCCTGAGTTTCCATTGGTGCGGCCGCCGCCGCGATCTCTGTATTCGCCGGCCACGAAGAGTCGGCGATCTGCGCATGCGCGCGACGCTGAGCGGCCGGCATCCCTGACACATTCCCCCATCAACAATGTATGTGTTGATGGGGGAATCAAGAAATGTTCTTTCCTTCCACTTGTGATGGAAGAAAATACAATTCCATAATCCTTGAGCTGTCTAGCTCATCAAACTAGGCAGCTCATAGCACAGTCTTTCATGGGTCACCATGGTTCTCAGATAATTCTTTATCGTTGCCAATTTGCAGAGTGACCTCTCTCCCAAAATGCTAGTGATCATCATGCTCAAATATATTCTAAGAGCTACTGAACATTAACCCCTTTACTCCGGCTGCACACAAATGTGCGGCCTCCCGGTGTCTGGGCCTAGATGCCGAGCGGCCGCACATTTGCATTCATGTTAGAAAAACGTGCTGAGAGCGTGCGCCCTGCGCACTCCCAGCACACGTCAGGTACTCACGAAAAGGTCCCGGTCTGCTCTTTCGATCGGGACCTTTCCCGATCATGTGACTGCCGTGATGATGCGTTACGGTGGTCACATGATCTCTAAACCACGCCCCGCCTCCCGGCATCTGAAACTCAAAGGGCCAGGAGGCGCCGGCGGGAAGGGGTTAACAACTGGAAAGGTATCAGTAAGTCCATCATCATGTAATAAAACTGCCTGTGGAGATGGAGTGAGACATGACTGGGGTGTGGCAAAGGCAGCAAACTGGACACTACTGAATTATCAAGGGAAAATAAATTAAATTTTTTTTCTTATAAAGGAAGTCTGGAGCCTCCTCTGGAAGAGGGGCCCAGGGCAGTTGCCCCTTTTTGTTCCCTTATAAACCTGGTATGGTCTACCATGTATAAGATAGATTACTTTTGCTCACCAGAAATTCTGACCAGCTACATGAATGTTCCCAAGGTCTCTTCCTGTATGCAGACCTATTGGCCGACACTATGCAGTTAAGGAAAAAATATAGCCAGAATTACAAAGCCTCTCCGCAATTATCATATTCCTTATCTCTGCGGTTACCCAAATGAAATAATCAATAAGGGGTGAGATGATTTCCTTATCACCATGGTTGCTGAGGGCTTGTGATTGCTAAAAGATTGGCAGATACTAGAGGAAGATTCCACCAGTGAAAAGCATCTCATGTTCACCTCATAAATCTCCTGATTGACAACCTGCTTTCTGCAACTAAGTTCCAGTATGATTTTTCATCCACTTGCATACTATAGCTCTGGCAAGCTCTAAATGTGCACAACCATCCTTCTGCATTTACACCCCAATTGTAGGGCGGTATTATTTATCTGCTCGGATTTCCTTTGGGAATCGCCTGTTCTTACTTTTAGAATGACTTATTCCACATCTGGTTTTATTGGTGTGTGTTTGAACTAATTGTTGAGGTTTTTTTTTCTATTTAATACACTCTGACTCAATTTTCACCAGCAACATGTGGAACCCTTGATGCCACCTGGAAGACCATCTACTCCACCCCCCCCCCCCCATCTATAACAATGCAATGCTCCACAAATCTCCAAGTAGCTTTAACTTCACCTCTCGTTTAACGCCTAGTAGCCACACACACTGTCAGACCACTATCAAATATGCCATTCAAGATATCAACTCTTAGTGTTAAAGATCTAAATAGCCCAGCAAAAAAGACAAATGCTATGGAAAGGAGCTGACATTTTAATTTGCGTTTGTCCGTTGTCTACAAGATCGTAACTCTCCTAAATTTTCTTATGTCCATTTTGCACTCATGCACCTACCAAAAAATGAGGTATTGCTATTCCGGTGAAAAAAATTAACATGCCTTTAACCACTAGCCTACAGGGCACAGGCCAATTTTCAGCTTTCAGTGCTGTTGCAATTTGAATGACAATTGCGCGGTCATGCAACACTGTACCCATATGAAATTTTTATCATTTTTTTGTGACAGATAGAGCTTTATTTTGGTGGTATTTAATCACCTCTTGGTTTTTTATTTTTTCTTAAACAAACCAAAAACCACTGAAAATTGTGAAAAAATTTTTTTTTAGTTTTTGTTATAAAATTTTGTAAATAAGTGATTTTTCTCTTTCACTGATGTGCGCTAATGAGGCTGCAGTGATGGGCACTGATAGGCTGCACTGATGGACACTGATGAGGAGGCACTGGTAGGTGGCACTGATGGGCACTGAAAGGCAGAACTGACTGGCACTGTTAGGCAGCACTGACGGGAACTGATAGGTGGCACTGATGCGCACTGATAGGCAGCACTGACTGGCACTGATTGGCAGCACTGATTGATGGCACTGATTGGCAGCACTGATTGATGGCACTGACTGGCACTGATGGGTGACACTGAAAGGCAGCTCAGATGGGCACTGATGTGCACTGGAATGTGGCATTGATGTGGCACTGATGGGCACTGGCAGGTGGCATGGATGAGCACTGACAGCTGGCATTGATGGACACTGACAGGTGGCACTGCTGGGGCTACACAGATCATCAGGGCACACTGATCATCATGTCCCCTCTGAGGGAAGCCGATTACCGGCTCTCCTCTCAAGCTGTCAGCGCGACAGCTCGTGAGGAGAGAAATGCCGATAACCGGCATTCCCCTATTTACATGCGATCAGCTGTGATTGAACACAGCTGATCACATGATCGAGCTAACATCTTCGGCTCTTTCCGTTGACCGGTGATCCGCTGTGTCCGAGGGACACAGCGCACGGCCGATCACCTCGCTGTATGCTCCCTGAGCCGCGAATGCTCAGTTAGAATGGGAGGATGTCATATGACGTCCTCCCAGAACGAGAGAACCGCCTTGCATCCGTCATTTTACTATATGGTGGGCGGGAGGTGGTTAAACATATCTCATCAATATCTGAGGATCTGGGGAGATACAGAATACTTATCTGCGAAACTGATCACACCACTTATATGTTAATAAATGTTTATTTCTCTAATGTCAAACAAATATTGTTTTTAAGAGTCTGGAAAAAGGCTACGGCAATGTGTGCGGGACATGTTATTCTGTGCAGAGACTTCAACGCTATGTCTGACAGACATTAATACCTTTCTGACCCTTCCACTGGGTCATATTGGCGAACTCCATCAATTCGGCTAATCTATTCAATGTTTGGAGGTGCCAACACTACAGGGAAAGGGACTCCTACTACTCCTTACATACTTACATACTTGAGAATAGATATGTTTTTGATTGACAAGTTTTTAATACAGATTGTAAGCAACTTAGAAATTCATACTATTACCTGGTCTGATCGTGCTCCTGTGTTGATCATGGCCCTAACAGAAACCAAAGCTAACAGATGGAGAAATTATGTGTTTTTATTGACTTTATTGACTCAATCCTAGCTCATTTAGTTTTGTTTAGTTAAAATCATTTGTGAGTTTTTTTATATTAATGCACCATCTGTTACGGACTCCTTTACATTGTGGAATGCCAACAAAGCTTTCATCAGAGGAGTTCTTATTAAAATGAGTAATGTTGTGAAAAGGTGGAGGATGCAGCAGCTTGACAACCTTCTGTCTGAAATACGAACTCTAGAACATACGAATAAGACTTTCCCATCCCACCTTATTACCACTAAATTGACCCAAGCTAGACACAACCTATATGTTTGCGATTGCTTTCCCAACACAACCAACATATTAGAACACTTAAAGTGAATTTCTATCACCACAGTAAACTCTTAGATAACCAAGTCAAAGAGAAAATACTTAAAGAAAGTGTTCCATACCTTTTCCATCCATCAAATTGCATAACCCTAAAGAAATTGCAGATGCTTTTAGCACTTACTATAGATCTTTCTACCATCCACAGGAAGACTCCACAACCCCTCAGCCAACCCTGGAAATTATCGCAGAATTTTTAGAATCTTTATCTCTCCCTAAAATTAAAATGGAAGATTTAGAATTTCTTAACTCTCCTTTTTCTGTTAAAGAAATGAGAATGTTATCAAAAACACTTCCACATAAAAAATACCTAGGTCCTGACAGATATTCTTCCAAATATCAACTTTTTTCTACTCTGTTATTGCCTTATCAACAGTATTCACTGATGCCACATCCTTCTTTTCTCCTGAAATACTTAATGCAACCATTATAACATTGCGTGAGCCAAGGAAAGAGCAGGTCGGAGCACAAAACTTCAAGCCAAATTCTCTACTAAATGTAGATTTGAAAATGTATGCAAAATTCTTAGCTAATAGGCTGGCCTGTTACCTTCCTTCACTAGTGAAACAGGAACACGTTGGATTAATTTTGGGTAAACAGGCCCCAGATGCAATATGATGTATCCAGCATCTTCTACACCTTGTCAAAACAACTAAAAAGCCTTCTCTGCTCCTATCATTGGACACAGAGAAGTCCTTCGACAGGATACATAGGGGATATTTATCTTAACTCCTAACCAAATCTGACCTTTGTGGACAGAAGCTGTCAGCAATTTCTGACATATATACCATCCCTTCAGCTTATGTTTTCACAGAGGTCATGTTTCCAGAGCAATTTCCCATCTCTAATGGCACAAGACAAGGGTGCCCTCTCTCCCCCTTGATATTCACTCTCTTAATGGAACCATTAGCAGAAAAAAATCAGAATGCATCCACATATCAAGGTTATCAAGTCACAGAACTATAAGATATATAGACAAATAAACAACATCAAATATACTGGGAGTTGCATAAGATGAACAGTTGAAACGTTCCCTCCAATCCAAACGCCCATATCCTTGATCAAATGGTAATTACGTCCATTTAAAAAGAAGTAGACTGGCTACAAATGTTTTATTTGTTATGGTCAGGTAAACTAGCAGCATATAAAATGTTAATACTACCAAAGTTCCTCTATTACTTTAAAGTCTTGCCTATAACCACCCTGTCCACATTTTTTAAAGTCACCACGGAGACAGCGGTACCAGCCAGCATTCGCTGCACTGCGGTTTGATCTACCTACAGCCACTGAGGGCTACATACAGCCATGCATTACTTAGAATCTTCTAAGAGTAAGTCACTCTCATGGCTGCCATCAGGAGGAGAGGTGGAGATGATTATGCTTTGACAGCTTCCATGGATAGCTGTACCTCAATGATTGCTTACTGACAAATCTGTGTTGACCAGACTGAACTGTGTTGATGAACTTATACATACCTTTATGCAGTTCCTAACCGGACCCAAATACATGCCCACACCTGGAAGTAGGACTCTTGGCTTAGCACGGACATTCTTGGCTAACTTAGTATTGACTCTATGTTATGGGCCGAATGCCCTACAGATTTACATACCATTGAGTATTAATGGACCTTAGTTACATAGATAGTCTGGCTGAAAAAAAACAAAAGTCCATCCAGTTAAAAAAAAAAAGTTATAATCCTACACCCATAGTTGAGGGAGGAGGGGGAAACTGTCAGCTCTGGATCGGGGCTGCCTGTGAGAGAGAGAGAAACTCTCATCTCAGAGCCCTGCAACCACTGTGGTGCTGGGGAGACACAATCTGGGCTCTTGGGCCTTCCCACAGTGGTGGAATCCCAGGGCCCGGTCACAAGTGTGACTTTTGCAACCCTGGTAGTACCGCCACTGATTAGCGGGTACAAAGCTAGCTTATAGTGTCCTCCATAGGCCCCTGTCCCATTTGGGTCTGTCACAGTGAATATAAATGTTTTTTTTTTTCCCACAAGTCCATACTTATCTTTTGAAGTCTTCGCTGGCAGCACATATGGCAGGGTGGTAATAAAGGAGAATAATTTTGAGGCAAGAATGACAGCATTACCACGTATTATTGTAAAGAAAGCCGTAGATTTATAACTACTTATGAAATTAAAGAAATAACATCTTAAACATTGTGTGAGATATTTGTGATTGTATTTACACCTGCTTTTAAAAGCAGTGGGCAGGGGTGAGGAAGAGCTGGCCTGCACACTTAGAGGACTTTGGCCAATCCCCAAGCAGGAGGCTTGGCATGGGGACAGGGCAGCTTTTAAAGTGTGAGAGAGCCTGCTCAGCAGCAGAAGAGTTCAGGTGGAAGATGTTAGGAAGGCTGAGATGCAGGGGCCTACCTACAGGCCGGGACCTGGAAAAAAGGATCACTCAGCCTCATCGGTCCCTTGCTCATCGAGGGAGGACCACCTGTGGAGGCAGGGGAGGACCCAGCCCAGCTGAAGGCTGTCACCAACCCAAGTAGCTCACAGGCAAGGACTGAATGAGTAATCCTACACCCCTTGGGCAAGTTAAAGAGACAATTCTGGTGATAAACCTGACTAGCTCCTTACCCAGGACTGTTCAACTTAAGTGGCAGGCACTGGATCCCCTTTTCCAGGTATTCCTCCAGACAGCTGGGTACACCCGGAGAGGCTGAAGAGTTCAAGAAGAGAAGTTCTGTCTTTGGCCTTAAAGTGTATAGTCCATAGGGTGCTCTGGCTGGAACTAGATCTCTGTAGCCACTAGGGGGGTTCCAGAATGGATATCAAGGATAGAGAAACCCAACAGACACTGAAGAAGCTCTTCATAGACTTGGAGACAAAGCTCTAGTGCAAATAGACATGGAAAGAAGACACCTCTAAGTGCAGTATTGGCAATTTATTAACATACAAAGATAAAATTCCACTTACAGGAAGTCAAAACATGACAGGCTCATCAGTAAATCGACCAATGTTACTGATGGTATGGGTTTAAGGGCCATCCAGTCGTCGAGCGGCAGTTTGATCCATGGAACACAGGGATATCAGAACTAAGATGGCTGTAGAACCTCGGGAGGAGTCATGGAATGCATAAGTCGGAGGTGATGTAAGGTGGGGCGGTAACACATTTCGGAGCATGCACAAAGGGCTCCCTCATCAAACCTAAGCCCGAAGACTCACTGGCAGTTGGCTGGAGCCAAGTGTTTTGTTCTTGTCAGCAAACTGCATTTCTGTCTGGATTCAGCTCTTCAAAAGTCTAAAAACCAATCAGCACCCTCCAGCTTGGAGAAGCAGAGAGGTTAACACAAGCCAGGGAAAAATCCTGCCTGGCAGTCTTGCTGGCGCCAAGATGTCAGACAGAGGGTGTGCCCACACCCTCCAGACCATCCAGTACACCCAGCATGCTGAGAGGGAGAGAAACAGGAGCAAGATGGAGGGTAGGTTGCAAGTCTGTCTGAGAACTTTGTGCTGGAGATCACATTGGTGGACACGGGAGTCCACCTGGAGTATCGCAGAGGCTTTGCCCTTGGGCTGATCAAAGGAGTAGAGAGACTGTGTTTAAAGTGTCCTGA